CATCATCAGCATCATCATCAGCATCATCACCATAATCATCATCATATCATCATCATCATCATCATCATCATCATCATCATCATCATCATCATCATCATCATCATCATCATCATCATCATCATCATCATCGTCCTCATCCCTGACTATCCTGGCCCCCCACCTGTCCTGCCCGCGGCTTTGGCTGCAGCCCTGGGTGACCGTCGCTGTCGTCGCTGTCCTCGCGGGCTCGCGCGCTTCCCCGTCAGCGCGGCTTCCCCGCCTGCATTTCCGATCGAACGGCTCCTCCCGTCAGGATCAGCCAACATCGAACGGGGAAATCGGCCCGAATCGGAACGCGCGCCAGATCGAGGCCGCATCGGCACGGGGTCGAGATCGAATCGGATTCGCCACGCCAAGATGCAGGACAGCTCCATGCAAGCATCGAACCGCATCGGACCGCTGGAAGATCGGAATCCAATCGGCATGACGATAGGCACGTTCGATCGAACGGCCCCTGTGCGCTCGACATGCTCTGCTTCGCTGGCGCGGGCAAGATGCGGCAGCCGCCCCTGGACAGGCGGCTGGCCGATGCCTCACGACACTGGTCGGGTCAACCTTTTGTGAAGCCGATCCGGGCTTTCAACTTCGGCAGCAGCTTCTGATTCTACGAGGGTGGGCTCGCAGCAGGCGGAAGGGCAGAAGATCGCGGAGCGCGGCTGCCCAACGCGAGCATCGGGTCGCATCAGATCATCGGAATATCAGAGAGATCGACTTCTATGCACGCTGCATTGGTGCAACCCCCCGACCCCCTTGGAACCGGGACCCTCACCCTCCGAAAATCTCTCCCTCGCCTCTCCGGAACCGGCCCCTCCCCTTCCCTGCCCCCCCGCCCGCTTCGATGAAACTGAAAATCGATGGGATTCCTCTCGCCTCCGATTCGCCAGCAAACGACGTCGACGACGGCAACGACGGAGGCGACGGGCGGGTGTTCAGTCGAGCAGGCGGACGGGGCATGAAATCTAACGCTCACTCGTCGATGGAACAGGATCCCACAGTGCCTTGTGCACGTGGAGGCGCGGAAGAATCTCAAGGTCTGTCTGGTCGGGTTCTGGCAATGTTCTAAGGGCCAACCCCCCCTCTCCTCGCACCCAGCCGCACGCATCGCCCCCTCCCGGGACCAGAAACTCTTGCAGAAACCACAGGTTCGCGCTCCCGAGGCCCAGATGCCTCCAAGACGGCCCAACAGCGCTTCAGGACAGGCCGCGTTGGCCTCAAGACGGCCCCAAATGGCCCCAAGACGGCCCACGAGGCCGTCGAGGCGTCCCGAGAGAGCCTCGAGGGGCAGAAACCATGAGTAAGCGTGTTCTTGTGCGGCCTTTCGACATCGAGCGAAAAGGGGGGGAGGGGGGGGGTCTGGCTCTGGACCTCTGCTTAGTGCGACTTTTTGCAGCACTGCGTCCTATGGGGGAGGGACTCCACCTGCTCGAAACAGGCGCCAAAAATAGCCAAGATCCACTCCAGGGGAGGGGAGGGGGGGGGGGGCGAGGGCCCGCGCTGATCGGCAAAACAAAAAATAAGAAAACGATCATTGGATGTTCTGTTCCTTCGCTGTGTCAATGCTTTTAGAGTTCTCGCCGGTTCGAGCTTCCAAAGTCCCAAAGCGACCCAAGAGGCCACCAGGACTGCCCCAAGACGGCCCAAGAGAAGGCCCCTAAGAGTGCTCCAAGACGGCCCAAGACGGCTCCAAGACGGCCCAAGAGGCGCTCAAGAATGCCCAAGAGGGCCCGAAGACGACCCCAAGAAGGGTACAAGAGGGTGAACACGAACCAACAGTTGGAGCCTTCCGCCACAGGAGGCCTCAGAAGGCCCCAAGGGGGCCAAACGAGGCCTCCTAGAGGACCCCGAGAGGCAAAAACCATTGATGTTCCCCCGCTTGTTTAATGCTTGTGGTGTTCTCGCCTTTTCGAGCTTCCGACGCTCCAAGACTGCCCAACAGGACCCCAACACTTCCCCGAGACGGCTCAGGAGGCCCCAAGTAGAACTCCAAGGCGACCCAAGAGGACTCCAAGACGGCCCAAGAGGCGCCCACATAAGACGGCCCCAACAAGAGCCCAAGAGTGGGAACACGAACCCAAAATTCGACCCTTCTGTCCTAAGGGGCCCCCAGCAGGCCCCCTTGCCTTCTCGAGTAGCTGCCACCCAGAATGCTGCGCTGGCACGGTGGCAGAATTGCTGGAGGCAGCTGGATTAGGGGAAAAAGAACCACCACCGACGACGATGACGACCACCACCACCGACGACGACGGGAAGCAGCAGCACTACGCGCAGCAGCACAAGCGCAACGAGGAGTACCAGCGTGAGGAGCGCATCACTGGATGCAGTACCACTGCGACCAGCACGACGGAGAACAGCAGCACCGGGCGCAGCACTGCCAGCTGCACCAGCAGCACCAGCACTACGATAACCAGTAGCACAATGCGAAGAGGCCCAAGTGGCACCGTTGCACCAAACTGGCCGCGGATGGGGCCGTGATCTGGAATCCTGCCTGTGCAGCCCACAGGCTTGTGAGACTGCGTCTTCCCCTGTGGCGAGAACGGTGTTCGCAATCAAGATGTGGTGGGCGCACCAGCGGTGGCACAATAATCAAGGTGAGAACGGTATTTCCAATCAAGGGTGCGGCAGGCGCCGAAGCGGCAGAGGAGATAAGAGCAGTCGCTAATGGTTTCGACCAGCGCCAAGCGAGAGCAGCAATCCGAATCGAGAGCGCGGCCCGCGCTGAGGCGAGAACAAGAATCGCAATCATGCGCGCGGCCGGCGCCTGAACGAAAGCGCCATTGTCCACCAGATGTGGCCAGCACCACAGCGAGAACGTCATGCTCAATGAAGGATGTTGCTGGTGCTAAGGCCACAGCAACATTTATCATCAGAGGTATGGCCGGCGCGAAGGCGATAACAACACGCTCAATGGAAGATGTCGCTGCTGGCGCCGAGGCGACAGCAAAACAGTCAATCACACATGTGGCCAGCGCCAAGGCGAGAATGAGGATATCGCCAGCGTTCAGGCTACAGCAACACTCTTAATCAATGGTGTGGCCAGCGCCAAGGCGAGAACGACATCCTCAATGAAAGATGTCGCCGGCGCCACGGCAACAGCACCGTTTTCAATCAGAGATGCAGCCAGCACCAAGGCGAGAACGACATGCTCAATGAAAGATGGCGCCGGCGCCAAGGCCATAGTAACAATTATCATCAGAGATGTGTCCGGCGCTACGGCGAGAACGCCGCGCTCAATGAAGGATGTCGCTGGCGTCGAGGCGACAGCAACATGCCCAATCAGACGTGTGGCCCACGCGCAGGCGAGAACGAAGGATGTCGCCAGCGCCTGGGCTACAGCAACATGTATCATCAGAGATGTGACCAGCGCCAAGGCGAGAAGGACGTGCTCAATGAAGGATGCTTCCAGCGCCTAGGCGACAGCAACATTGTCGATCAGGCATGTGGCCCACGCACAGGCGAAAACGACATGCTCAATAAAGGATGTCGCTGCTGGCGCCTAAGCGACAACAACGTTTGCAATCAGAGAACTGGCCCACGCACAGGCCGGAGCATCATTTCGAGACGAGCGTGTCACCAGAATGAAAGTGCCACGCCCATTCCGCGCAGGCCGGGGACGTTAAGTGGCTAGTCCACGCTAGGGGGGGTAGTAGGGTTTGGCCATATTTTGGTGTCTGGGGGGGGCCTTGATTAAGGAGCCGCCCTCCTTTGATCGATCTCCTCCGAGATGGCCCCAAGATGGCCCCCGAGGCTCCCGAGGGTGCCCCAAGAGGTGCCCAGGAGGCCACAAGAGGCCCCCAAGATGCCCCGAAGAGGCTCCCAAGAGAGCCCCAGGAGGCCCCAAGAGGCCCCCCAGAGGCACCCAAGACGCCCCAAGAGGACTCGACGAGAAGGCCTCCTGGCGGGGGGGGGGGGCTAATTTACTACGGTCCCTTGATTGATCGATCTTGTCAAAAATGACCTTCAGATGGCCCCCGAGAATCCCAAGAATGCCCCAAGAGGGTCACAAGAAGCGCCCAGGAGGCCCCAAGAGGCCTCCAAAATGCCACCAAGATGCCTCCAGGAGGCCCCTGAGAGACTCCCAAGAGACCCTGAAGAGACCCGAAGAGGCTCCCCCGAGACACCCAAGACTTCAACAGGCCCCCGGGACCACCACGAGACCCGGAAAAAGTCCCAAGAGGCCTACAAGAAGCTCTCAAGAGACGTCCGAAGAAAATCCGAGAGGCATCCAAGAGACCTCTGGCCTTTCTGCTCGCCCTCCTCCTCCTCCTCCTCCTCCTTCTCCTCCTCCTCCTCCTCCTCCTCCCCCTCTTCCTCATCCGCCTCATCGTACTCCTCCTTCTCCCTCCCCCCTCCTCCCTCCTCCATCCTCCCCTTTCCCCTCCTCTGGTTCCTTCTCCGTCCTCCCCCTCTTCGTGCATGACGGCTTCCAAGCCTTTATTCCACTGCGTGCTCCCTCACCTGCTTGATCAGGGCAGCTCGCATGGGCATCGTTTCTAGATGGGCTGGTGGGCTCACTTTTTTGGTCGCGGCCGCAAGCGAAGGCGCAGGCGGCGGGTCGGTAAGTCCGGGGCGCGATCCTTACTAATTTACAGCGAGCAGCAAACTAGAGCGCGGGATCCTCTCGCTGGTGGGCTCACGCGGAGCGTCTAGAATTAAGACGCTGGTCCAGAGTCCAGAGCACGAAAAGATGTTGTGCAGGAAACCTGCGCAGGCCGAGAACGAGGCAACGGAAGCGCAATGAGCTGCAACCGCAAAAAGATAAATCAGGTTACGTTGCATCTTCGGGGGACCGTGTCTGTCTTATCGCAGAACTGTTCGCGTTGAAACCGCGTAAAATCAACGTCGAATCCGCGTAGAATACACGCCGAATGCACGTCGAATCCACATCAAAACCACGTCGGATAGATGAAACAATGCTATCTGCAAGACGAGCAAGGTCACCCGGAAATGCAGCGTAGAACAACGGGCACGGCCGAGGAGGTCCGAATCCGTACTGCCAAGTGGTTGAATGGCAATCATCTCCGGCTGCGTCGGCGGCACCAAGTTCAGCGACAACTTCTTGCGGCCCAAAAAGATCGTGGCAGAGTCCCGGTACACCTGGGGCGCGGCGACCATGCCAAACCTCAATACTCAAAATCCCGTATTAATAGTCGCCCAGGTCCGGTTTTGTACGGCGCCTTTTTTTGTAACTGGGGGGGTCCGGTTTATTAAGGCGCTCCGTCGAAAAGGGGGGCCGGAATTTTAGGTCGCATTTGGAGTGGGGTCTGGTTTTTTCCAAACCATCCTGTGGTGTTGGGTCCTCGTTTTGAAGAGACAGCGCCCCGCGTTCACTCCTCCTCCCGCTGCCCCCCTCCCTCCTGCCACCGCCCGCATGCGTCAGCCACACCCACTTCGGCACACCCCTCACACGTTTCGTGGCCCCATAGGGAGCTCCACCGAAGGCCCCAGTGGCTGCGCTCCCATGCGCCCACCGCACCCCGCACCCCCCAGCCCCATGGCCCCAGTGGCTCATCCCATTTCGGCACACCCCTTTCGTGGCCCCATAGGGAGCTCCACCGAAGGCCCCAGTGGCTGCGCTCCCATGCGCCCGCCGGCACACCCCTCACACGTTCGTGGCCCCCTCAGCTCCCATGCCGGGAGGCCCCATAGGGAGCTCCAGCGAAGGCCCCAGTGGCTGCGCTCCCATGCGCCCACCGCACCATTTCGGCACACCCCTCACACGTTTCGTGGCCCCATAGGGAGCTCCAGCGAAGGCCCCAGTGGCTGCGCTCCCATGCGCCCGCCGCACCCATTTCGGCACACCCCTCACACGTTTCGTGGCCCCATAGGGAGCTCCAGCGAAGGCCCCAGTGGCTGCGCTCCCATGCGCCCGCCGCACCCATTTCTGCACACCCCTCACACGTTTCGTGGCCCCATAGGGAGCTCCAGCGAAGGCCCCAGTGGCTGCGCTCCCATGCGCCCACCGCACCCATTTCGGCACACCCCTCATACGTTTCGTGGCCCCATAGGGAGCTCCAGCGAAGGCCCCAGTGGCTGCGCTCCCATGCGCCCACCGCACAGATTTCGGCACACCCCTCACACGTTTCGTGGCCCCATAGGGAGCTCCACCGAAGGCCCCAGTGGCTGCGCTCCCATGCGCCCACCGCACCCATTTCGGCACACCCCTCACACGTTTCGTGGCCCCATAGGGAGCTCCAGCGAAGGCCCCAGTGGCTGCGCTCCCATGCGCCCACCGCACCCATTTCGGCACACCCTCACACGTTTCGTGGTCCCATGGGGAGCTCCAGCGAAGGCCCCAGTGGCTGCGCTCCCATGCGCCCACCGCACAGATTTCGGCACACCCCTCACACGTTTCGTGGCCCCATAGGGAGCTCCAGCGAAGGCCCCAGTGGCTGCGCTCCCATGCGCCCACCGCACCCAATTCGGCACACCCCTCACACGTTTCGTGGCCCCATAGGGAGCTCCAGCGAAGGCCCCAGTGGCTGCGCTCCCATGCGCCCACCGCACCCATTTCGGCACACCCATCACACGCTTCGTGGCCCCATAGAGAGCTGCACCGAAGGCCCCAGTGGCGGCGCTCACATGCGTCCCCGCCACACATCCCAATACACCCCTCACGCGCTTCGTGGCCCCATAGGGAGCTCCACCGAAGGCCCCAGTAGCGGCGCTTACATGCGTCTCCGCCACCCATCCCGGCCCCCCCCCCCCGCAGCAGCATCATGTTTCGGGGACCCATAGGGAGCTCCACTGGAGGCCCCAGTGGCGGCCCGCACATGCGTTTCCGCCACCCATGTCGGCACGCCCCGCGCGTGTTTCATGTCCCCATAAGGAGTTTCGCCGAATGCCCCAGTGGCACCCATCTCGGCACACCCCTCACACGTTCCGTAATCCTATGGGGAGTTCCATTGAAGATGAAACCCGCAGCTGCGGTACTGACAACTGCATATGGTTGGGTTCTTCGCCAGGCTAATTAGGGGGGGGTCGATGAATGAGGGATTTGGAGTAAGCTGGCTCACCCAGCTTCGCGCGTCAAGCCCCGCGATGCGCCACGCGCGGTTGTCTTTGCGCCCTCGCGCCCTCGCGCCCTCCACCTTTTGGAAGGGCAGCAGTTCTGGCCTGGACCGCGATGCGCGAAACGCGGCTATCTTCGCCACCCTGGAGGTGAGTGACCCAGAAACTGGAGCCCTAGGAAGGTGGAGATCCTGTCTGGCCGCAGCTCGATGCACACTGGCTCCCGCAGAGGCATCCGCCGCCGCGCCTGGCGTGCCAGGGCCCTGCTTTGCTCCGAGTGCGTGACCCTGGCGGACCAATCGCTGACCCAGCACCGCACCGAGGCGTGCCGCAGCAAGGACTGCAGAGTCATCCGCCGCCACTCGTTCCCGCGCCTTGCGTTCCCGGGCCCTGGCTTTGCCCCGAGAGCGTGCCCCTGGCGGAACAACAGCTGGCCCTGCACCGCGCCGAGGCGTGCCACACAGCAAGCACCAGGCAGGCCGCGCCACTCCGCAGCCTCCAGGCTGAAGGGCCTGGTGGCCCTCCAGAAACAAGGGAGCCACAGCTGGGAGGGAAGGCGGTACCCCCAAGAGGCGTCTCCCCACCTTCAGGCTCCCAAGATGGCGCCCTGGCGGCCCTCCCGAGGGAACCCCTTGACGACGCACCCAAGACGGCCCCAAATGGCCCAGGACAGCCCCCGCAAAGACGGCCCCACGATGCCCCCGAGAGAGCCCGAAAGGGAGCCCAGGGGGCCCCAAAATGCTGCCCCCCCCCACCAAGGCGGTCCTCCCTTCGGCCCCGACGAGGCCCCCGACGAGGCAGAGCCGAGGCGGTGCCGTGCCGAGCTGCGGCCTTGCCGCGCAACGGCCCCGAGCGCGGTGGCGGCGTGTTTGCGCGGCACTGCGTCTGGGGCCGTGCGCTGCGACTCGACCACGCGTCCGTCGGAGTTGGCCTCAACCTCAGCGGCGCGCCGGGGAAGGGGAAGGGAGAACAAGGGCGGCGGGGCTTCTCAGAAGGCCAGAGGCCTCCCGAGCCCTCTGAGAAAGCCCGCCCCTTCTCGCTTCCCCCCAGGGCTAGCCGCCGAGGGCCGCTCGGTCACACTGTCCACGCATGTGGTGCGCCCAGGCGGGTTACAGGCCAGGGTCCGTAGCTGTGCACTGTTCGGGGAAGCCCCGCATGAGGGCGAGGGGAACGACGAGGACCAGGAAAGGCCACCTGCTCGGGCTGCCGCCCACAGACAAAACGAGGGCAGAACACTCGCAAAATACCCGGGGTGGCCTCCAAGCCGCGGGGCGCAGACATCGGACGACAACGAGCGCCTGCCTGCCTGCTCCGTTGCCTGCTCCGTAGCCAGCGTACCCGTAGCCTCCACTGGAGATCGAGAACAGGACCTTCAGTTTACAAAACTGACGCCCTGCCACTGAGCTATAGACGGGGAAACCAAAATGTACCGATGCCGCTACCCCCCGGACCTCTCCTGAGGTGCGTTCTGACCAGAGTTTCGAGGCGAATCCGGCGGTGGCGACGGGGGCCGCCCAGGAAGCCCAGAAAGGGGAAAACGGGGGCAGGGTAGCGGTATCGGTACCTCGTCCTCCTCTGAATAGGAGTTGCACCAGCAGGAGCCAGCCACAGCTGGTCGCACTGCATCATCATGCAGCGCTGCGTGGCCCTCGTCGCGCGCTCCTCTCGGCATCATCGTTAGACCTCCGTCGCTCCCTCCCCAGAGGCACAGTGACGATCGCAATGCACCACGCCAGCAGCGTCGCCAGTCTCTTCGATGCGCAAGATGAGCAAACACCTGGCGCGACGTCGAGCACTGGAAAATTGCACGCCTGAGTGGAGGTCGCGAGAGAAAGAGAGGGAGAGAGAGAGGAAGTCTTGACCAAGCCAAGGAGGAAAGGACGTTGCTTTGACCAAGGCTGTTCAGCCAAAGGGCAATCCCTTACCAGAACCGCGCAATGGAATCATGTCCAGTGGGTTTGTGTACGGTGTCCTATCCCCTAGCGGAGACCGTCAACCCGGGAAACCGCCCGATCCACAACCTCCATTCACACTCCTCACCCACCTCTTCCTCCTCCTCCTCCTACTCCTCCTCCGCCTCCTCCTCCTCCTCCTCCTCCTCCTCCTCCTCCCCCATTCCTTCTCCTTACAAATAACTTCTCCCTGTCGCACCCCGAGGCCAGTTTTTAGGGCGGGCCGGGCGTTTCGCCTGAGACTTCCTCACCACTTATGATTCTGAAGCTTAGAAATTGTCAACAGTTCCACGGAAGGAGGGCGGGTGGTTTTCAAAATGAGGCTCTCGCCTAAGCGCCGCGCACACTATTTCTAAACAGTTGCAAGAACTTCACGGGTTGAGTGCGGGTCCCTTTCAAAATGTGGCTCTCGCATTAGCGCTGCGCACATTCTTTGTAAACATTTGCAAGAGCTTCACGGATTGAGTGCGGTCCTTTTCAAAATGTGGCTCTCGCCTTAGCGCCGCGCACATTCGTTTACAAAAGTTGCAAGATGTTCGCGGATTCCCACCATCAACGTACCAGAAATAGCGTCCAGCACTATGCGGGCGCAACAGTTACGTTGATTCGCTGTGTTGTGAAGTCGCAGGAATGCCGTTCTGGCACGATTCAAGATCGCCAAGACGCAATAGTCAGGTTGATCCGTGGCGTTGGAATCCCGAGAACAATGGTATGACATGCTTCAGGGTCTTCAAACTGTTGTCTTGCAACGAGACAGTTCCCTTAGTGGAAGGAACCGTTGTAGGGGCCTATGGAGAGGGAGCTTGTAGGGAGGGTGTATTCCAACATCGTTGGGTTTAAACTGGTCCTCCTCCTCATCCTCCTCCTCCTTCTCTCTACCCTCCACCACCACCTCGGTCCACCTTTCTCCTCCTCAGCGTTGCTCCATTCTCATCCCTGCTTCCTTCTCCGTCCTCCCCATCGTCCGTTTCCTCCTCCCCATCTACCATTGAATGGTCGCTGAATAATTATACCAAACGGGTACGGATGCGAGCGGTGAACGATGGCGCGTTACAAGAGCAGCAACAGCAACCGCGAGACAAACAATACAGAGGCTCCTTTTATCAAGTTTTCCGTGTAAAAGGAATGAAGCGGCATGCCGCAAATTGAGAGCCCGCTGGGGGCACCGAGAAACGACTGTGCCCTGCAAACTCCGAGTTGTTAAGGAGCTAGGGTACACCAGCCACGAGAAGGCAGATACAGAAGTGGGGCAGAGCCCGCGCAGAGTGATCGAAATAATGGACGACAGACGCGTTAATACAAACTATTGCAAAGAAAGCGTTGATATATACCAGTAGAGTAATGAAATCCGAGGCGGCCAAGGCAAGGCAGAGGGAGAGTAGAAGGACAAGTTGGAGTCTTAGTGCGACCAGGACGCTAGTATTGCGCGAATGGATACGTAGGTTATGCCACTGATGCCAAGTGCACGCCAAAATGGCCGTACTGGGTTACTGCAGCACGGCAGCACGGTAGTTGTTCAAGATTACACCAAAGAAAAAGTCCAAAACAGTGGATGGGTTGTGATGTAAATATGTATACACATAGATAAATGCATACATGCATGCATGCATACATATATACATACACGCATGCATGCATACATACATGTGTATACGTGTGTAAGTGTGTACGCACATATTTATGTACACATGCATCAATACACAGATCCACTCCGTATCCACCACTCTCCATCTCTATGTTATGTGTATGAATATGTATGTGTACATGTATTCCCTACCTGGGCTCTGCCTAGAAGGGTTCTTACTCTCTTCTATCTTAAAGGGGCCGGGCAGTGTTGCCCGCCCCGGGCGGTTCCCCCAGTCCCCGCCCCGCGGTTCCCCCAGTTACCCAGTTGCGCCCCCTGGGTTCACCCAGCTTAGCTTAGCTTAGCTTAGCTTTAGCTTAGCTTTGGCTTAGTTTTAGCTTAGCTTTAGCTTAGTTTTAGCTTTGCGTTAGCTTAGTTTTAGCTTTGCTTTAGCTTAGCTTTACCTTAGCTTTAGCTTAGCTTTACCTTAGCTTTAGCTTAGCTGTAGCTTAGCTTTACCTTAGATTTAGCTTAGATTTAGCTTAGCGTTAGCTTAGCTTTAGCTTAGTTTAGCTTAGAGTTAGCTTAGCTGTAGCTTAGCTTCAGCTTAGCTTTAGCTTAGCTTCAGCTTAGCTTTAGCTTAGCTTTAGCTTAGCTTTAGCTTAGTTTCAGTTTAGATTTAGCTTAGCGTTAGCTTAGCTTTAGCTTGTATTTACCTTAGCTTTACCTTAGCTGTACCTTAGCTTTAGCTTATTTGCTTAGCTTTAGCTTAACTTTAGCTTAACTTTAGCTTAGCTTTACTGTTACTACTAATGCTGCTTTCCTAGGGGCTCCAACTCCTAGGTAGGGTCGCACTGGGATAATGTACATTTGTATACGAATGCATTATATATGGCGAGCCCTGGCACCAAGAACCAAAAACCCAGCCACACACCGAGACCAATCTAGAACCCGGAAACGGGGAACCGGAACCCAGAACGGGGAACCCGGGAACCCTGCCGCCTACCGAAGTGGGCGGCGAACTTTCGCCAAAACCAATCCGAAGCCAGGAACGGGAACCTCGAATCCAGACCGGGGAACCCAGGAACCCAGCCGCCTGCCGAACTCGGCGGCGAACTTTCGCCAAATCATTCAATATCCGCTAGGACCCCTAGTGCAAGCACTGATTGGGGAATCAGTGGCACCATACTGGGCAGGTGCGCAGCCGGTGCACAGTCGGAGAGACAAGTTGTAGATTACACCTAAGAAAATCCCAATCAGTGGATGCTTTGACAGGTAATACTATGGATCTTCAGATCGATTGTGCGATCGATAATGAGATCGATAGTTGAATCGATAGTGAGGACGAAGTCGATCGTGAGACCGAGAGTGAATTCAATTCAATGAGATCGATAGTGAGATCGATCGCGAGATCGCTCATGCGATCTCTAGTGAGATCGCTTGTGAGACCGATAATGAGACCGGTTCGGAGATCGATGGTGAGATCGATAGAGATATGGGCAATGAGATCGATCGTGAGACCGATCGATAAGAAGACCGACCAGGAACCCGGGAACCCAGAACCTCGCCGCCCTCCGAAATCGGCCCAGAACCAGGAACTAGGAACCCGGGAACCCGGGAACCCGGGACCCGGGAACCCAGCCAGCAACCAAATCGGCGGGAAACTTTCGCCACATCCTTCAACATCCGCGAGGATTCCTTCAGTGCAAGCACTAATTGGGGAATTGCAGCTGTGAGCTAACGACTACAGTGGCCTCGAGTCATGAGTCAGGGCGAGACGTAGCACCGAAGGGTGACACCTTGTACACTGAGCTGTCGGGACATGGCGGGAGCGCGATATGGTTGCACATCGTTTTGTCATGGCGGCAGTGTGGTGGCATGCGTGTGTCCTGAACGGCCGTGCTTCCGTACGTTGCTGCACCCTCGTCCGCCTGCTCCTCCTGCTCCTCCGGCCCTCCTCCCTCCCTCCCTCCCTCCCTCCCTCCCTCCCTGACCCCCCTCCTCCCCTCCTTCTCCCTCCCTCCTCCCTCCACCTGTTACTCACCCCGCCCCTCCCCCCCTCGCTCCCTCCCTCACCCCCTGGCGGCGGGGGGGCCCGCGAGTACGTCAGGCGCAGGGCGGGCGTCTTCGCGGCGTGCGCCACGATGCGAGGAAACACCGTGGGGAGCAGCCTGGTCAGCATACCTCTGGGCGCGCACGCCTCCAGAAGGAGATCGGCGGCGACCCGGGGGGGGGCCTTCTCAGAGGGCTCGGAAGACCCCCCGGGCCTTCTGAGAAGTTCTCCGAGCCTTCCCCGAAGGCACAGCAGACCTCCTCCTTCTCACTTCTGGGGAAGCCAAGAGGTACTGATACTGCTACTCCCCAGACCTCTCTCGGAGCGCGCTCTGACCCGGATTTCGAGGCGAATCCAGCGGTGGCGACGAGGGCCTCCCAGGAGGCCCAAAAAAGGGGAGCACGGGGGAAGGGTAGGGGTATGGGTACCTTTTCCTCCTCTGAACTTCCCCACCTCGCTCGCCGCCGAGGGGAGACATCGGCAGGCGCACAGACTCCCGGGAGCCCGCGCGGACCTCTTGGCGCTGGGCTCCCCCCCCGCCGCGGCGCGCCAGGGGCCAGCGCGCTGACACTCGAACTCCGGGCGCGGAACTCCGACGGCCCGTCTTTTTGGTGCCGCGTCTCCTCCTCCTCCTCCTCCTCCTCCTCCTCCCCTCCCTCCTCCTCCTCCTCCTCCACCACTAGGATGGCGCCAAACTTGCAGGGACGAAAGGACCCCTTTAAGAAAGCGGCTCGTCCTCACGATCCTGCCTGGCTGCGTGCGCCCTGGAGGTCCCCAAAAATCGTGTGGTGACGGACCGCGCGGCGGCCTCTCGGGATCCCCCCGAAGGACCTCGCCGCACGGTGACCGTCGCCGCACGGCCTCGGGACTCTGGAGGCCCCGGTCGCCCGAGACATCCTCCTCCTCATCCTCCTCCTCCTCCTCCTCCACCTCCTCATCCTCGGAGAACGGTCCGAGTCCCAGAGCCGTGCGGTGACCCCGAATCCCCGTTGACTCACCACACGGTATGGTCGCCACACCGCTTAGGGGGCACCCGAGAGATACAGGGACGACAGGGCCCCCTTGGGAACGCTGCTCATCCTTTACGCTCCTGCCTGGCCGCGCTCCCCGAGGCGCCGTGGCGGCGGTAGGGAGGTGATGCCCTGCTGCGCAGGACCCCTGCGCGGTGCCCCGGGCTCGTCCGCGGCGCCGATCGCCAGCAGGAGGCAAACGGCAGGGCACCGCCGCCGAGGGCGCGGCGGCGGCAGCGGCGGCAGCGGCAGCGGCAGCAGCGGCAGCGGCAGCAGCAGCAGCGGCAGCGGCAGTCCCAGACACCCGACGTCGCCATTCTGAATGCAGCGCGGCTCCCCAAAGTCTGGACCCCTTCCCCGGGGAGCAGCCTCTAATCCTGGGCCGTCTTTGTAGACGGCCCCGGGCCCTGTGAGGGCCCCATGGAGCCAGAGGGCCCTTCTTCCTCCTCCTCCTCCTCCTCCTCCTCCTCCTCCTCCTCCTCCTCCTCCTCCTCCTTTGTTCCTCCTCCTCCTCCTCCTCTCCTCCTCCTCCTCCTCCTCCTCCTCCTCCTCCTCCTCCTCCTCCTCCTCCTCCTCCTCCTCCTCCTCCTCCTCCTCCTCCCTTTCACCAGAAAACCTTCCGTCGTGAAGTTTAACGACGCGGGAATGTCAAGGATCGCGCCCTCAAAGTGCCGCGCAGCAGCAGCGGCGGCGAGACGCAGCAGTGAGAGGGGGAACGACAGGGGAGCCCGCTCAGGTGGGGAATCATCGGCCTCGAATCAGCGATTCCTCGCCGATAGATCGGCGACAGCGGAACCACAAGTTCCAGGGCAGGACGGGCTACCGGGCCCCCATCGGCGATCAGTTGGACATTTGGGGGTCGATACGTCCCCCCCCCTGAGCCTATCCCCTCCTGGCTTTCGGGCCATACCTCAGCCCTCCAGCGTCCATTCGGGACGGTCAGGGCACCCCCAGAGCGAGGCGCAGCCGCTGGAACGCACCCGGGAGCGGAGAACCGCCGCAGACGACCGAGAACTCAGCACCTCGACTCCGACAAAGTGCCCCTGGCCGATGCATCCCACCCTTCCCTCCCCCCACGTTGCCCCTGCAGGGACCTGCGCATCGTTGAACCGATCCCTATCCCCACGGGCGTGGCCTGGGCCCCACTGGCCGATTTGTCCCCCCTGGATGGGGATATAGGCTGCTCCCTTCGAGTTCCGCGGGGCACATCCACGACCTGGGGTGATCGGGACGGGCACGGAGCACAGAGGATGAGGATCGGTGAAACGATGCTGAGGACCGCACCCTCGGAGCGCCCCCCGAAGCGGCAGCCCCGACGCAGCAGCCCCGGCTGCTGCCGCCGCGGCGCGGCGCCGCGCCCCGGCGGGGCGCGCCGTGGAAGTCGAAGGTGAGCGCGCCGCTGCTGACCGGCGCGGAGGACCCTGCGGGGAGGGGGGCGGCGCTCACCGCGCCCGGCGACAGCGGCGACCTCGGAGGCTTCGAGGAAGCGAGGCTTCGAGGAGCGAGGCTTCGAGGAGCGAGGCTTTTCGAGGAGCGAGGCTTTTCGAGGAGCGAGGCTCTTCGAGGAGCGAGGCTTTTCGAGGAGCGAGGCTCTTCGAGGATCGAGGCCTCGAGGATCGAGGACCCGAGGCTTCGAGGCTTCGAGGACCAAGCATTTTGTATTCGCCAGCGCGCACGGAGTTGGACAGGCTGTCCTTCGACAGTGGCCGAGATGTCCTTTGCAAGCGTTCGGACGAGCTGGATGTTCAGATTTCGTCTTTTCCTCCTCCTCCTCCTCCTCCTCCTCCTCCTCCTCCTCCTCCTCCTGCGAGCACGATGAGGAGCAACCTCCCGCACATCTGCTTCACCCAGGCTCCGCGAGAGGGTATGCACGGCCTCGAGAACTACTGCTTCACCTTACGCAACACCTTGCGGCGGGTAACGCCGATGGTCATGTTCGACGACGGAGGCCAGGAGAAGATCGAGAAGGCGGTGCACGACACCTTCAACTGGCTGGATAAGAACCAGCTGGCACACGAGGCAGAATTTGACGGCAAGCGGCACGATCTGGAGGCTATGGTCTCTTCCCCCATGGTCGTCGCCGAGCCGCAGCTCCTCAGCGTGCACAAGCGCGGCGAGGGCACCACCAGGAGGAGGAAACTCTTGGCGACTCCGCAGACGACGCCGTGGCCGAGATGGAGCAGGCCGTCCGCGAGACGGAGCTCCGCGCGGCGAGGGCACGGCAGGAGTGCCTCGAGCAGCGGTCGCTCCCCGAGGCCAGCGAAGGCCACGTGAGGACGGTCCCTGCCTCTGCTCGGCCGTTCCGCGACTATGGCTGAATCGGTGGGCCCCCCTGGAGGGTCGGTGGAGTTCAGAAGCGCGTGAGTGCATGGTGCACGAGGCCACTCGCGAGGGGCGCGAGGCGCACCGTGACATCTAGATGTCCTTATGTAGCGTACCCCAATGTTTCCTCTGTTTCTCCTCCCCTTACAGATAATTCCTCCCTGTCGCACCCCGAGGCCAGTCGAAAGGGCAGGCCAGGCGTTTCGCCTGAGACTTCTGGCTCTCGCCTGGGCGCCGCGCACATTCGTCCCGTTTTCAAAATGTGGCTCTCGCCTTAGCGCCGCGCGCACTCGCCGTAAACGTTTGCAAGAGTTTCACGAATTGAGGACAGCTCCTTTTCGAAATGTGGTTTTCGCCATAGCGCCGCACACACTCGTCTTAACACTTTGCAATGAATTCACGGATTCCCAGAATCAACGTATCAAAAATGGTGTTTCGGAACGATTAGAGATTGTTAGGGCGCAGCAGTTACGTGGATTCGCGGTACTGAAGTTCCAGGAATGGTGTTCTGGCGCGAGTCCGGATCGTCAAGACGCAGCAGTCAGATTAATTCGTGGCACTGGAGTCCCGAGAACGATGGTTTGGCACGGTTCCAGAATCTTCAAACTGTTGTGTCCCAACGGGGCACTTCCCTCAGTGGAGAGGAATCCTTGTATGGGGCCTACGGAAACAGAGCAAGGAGAGATGGTTTGTTCTGATATCGTTGATACATCTTTGGTTTACATTGGTCCTCATCCTCCTCCTCCTCCTCCTCCTCCCCCTCCTCCTCCTCCTCCTCCTCCTCCTCCTCCTCCTCCTCCTCCTCCTCCTCGTTCCTCTTCCTCCTCGCTCCACCTACTCCTCCCCCCTCCTCCGACCCCCTTCCCTTCTCATCGTCCACCTCCCCCCCTCTCAACTCCCTCGTCATCATCATCATCATCATCATCATCATCATCATCATCATCATCATCATCATCATCATCATCATCATCATCATCATCATCATCATCATCATCATCATCATCATCATCATCATCAGCAGCAGCAGCAGCAGCAGCAGCATCATCATCATCATCATCATCATCATCATCATCATCATCATCATCATCATCATCATCATCATCATCATCATCATCATCATCATCATCATCATCATCATCATCATCATCATCATCATCATCATCATCATCATCATCATCATCATCATCATCATCATCATCATCATCATCATCATCACATCATCATCATCATCATCATCATCATCATCATCATCATCATCATCATCATCATCATCATCATCATCATCATCATCATCATCATCATCATCATCATCATCATCATCATCATCATCATCATCATCATCATCATCATCATCATCATCATCATCATCATCATCATCATCATCATCATCATCTTCCTTCTCCCCGCTCCATCCCCGCATCTGCGTGCTCTTCACGTTGGTCCTCCCCCTCCTCCCCTCGTCCTCTCCCCCCTCCTCCACATCCAGTCGCCCGCATCCGCGGCCACTCCTTCCGCGTTCCGCCCAAGGGGAGGAGAAGAAGCAGCAGAAGCAGCAGGTCGAGACGGGAGGGCGGGCGGGGCGGCGGGGGGCGCGCCCGTTTTGAGCGGCAGCAGCGAAGGCACGATGTACACCTGCGGAGGATGGTCAGCGGTCTGGGCTCGCGGCTTCCCTTCGTGCCTCTCCTCAGCATCCCGCTGCCCCCCTTCCTGCCTCCTCCTCCTCCTCCTCCTCCTCCTCCTCCTCCTCCTCCTCCTCCGTCCTCCTCCTCCTCCTCCTCCTCCTCCTCCTCCTCCTTCTACTCCTACTCCCAGTCCTCCTCCTCCTCCTCCTCCTCCTCCTCCTCGATTCCTTCTCCTTATGAATACTTCCTACCTGTCGCACCCCGAGACCAATCGGAAGGGCAGACCAGGCGTTTCGCCTCAGAACCCCTCACCAACTATGGGCCTCGAGCTGAAAAAACTGGCAACAGCTTCGCAGATGGACAGCTGGAGGTTACCATAAGATGGCTCTCGCCTTAGCGTTGCGCAAACTCGTTTGGGAAATTCGCAAGGGTTTCACATATCGGGGGCGGCTCGTTTTCAAAATGTGGCTCTCGGCTTAACGCTGTGGGTGGCCTCTTTGGGCTCCTCGGCGACGTGGGCCGGCTTCTCGGGCTCCTCGGCGGTGTCCTCGGCTTCTCGGCAATGTAGGAGGTCTTCTCGGCGATGCGCGTGGCCCCCGCGGGCTCTGCGGGTGGGGGTCGGTGGCCTTCGCGGGCTTCTCGGCGGTGTCCCTGGTCTCCTCGCCAATGGCAATGTAGGAGGCCTCCTTGATTAGGCCCTCTCCAACGTCCGGGACGGTGGCGCCGCGCACGAGGCCAGGGATGAAGTCCTCGGCCTCTGCGCCGAAAGGGACTTGCTTGCGGTCTGCAGGCCCTGGGGCCTCTGTTCTTTTGGCCATTGCTGGCACCCCCAGCCCCCGGGTCCTCTGGCCTCTTCGGGCCAGCGCCCTGGAGGGCGCCATCATCGTCATCATGATCGCCGTCAACATCATCGTCATCATCATCAGCATCATCGCCAGCATCATCATCATCATCATCATCATCATCATCATCATCATCATCATCATCATCATCATCATCATCATCATCAGCATCATCATCATCATCATCATCATCATCATCATCATCATCATCATCATCATCATCATCATCATCATCATCATCATCATCATCATCATCATCATCATCATCATCATCATCAGCATCATCATCATCATCATCATCATCATCATCATCATCATCATCATCATCATCATTATCGACCTCATCAGCATCATCGGCATCATCATCATCAGCATCATCATCATCATAATCATCAGCATCATCATCATCATCGTCATCATCATCATCATCATTACCTTCAGCAGCAGCATCATCATCATCACCACCACCTGCGTCGTTTTCTTCTGCATCATCATCATCATCATCATCATCATCATCATCATCATCATCATCATCATCATAGTCATCATCAGCATCATCATCACCATCATCATCCTAAGTATTATCAGCAGCATGATCAGCAGCATCAGCATCACCATCCTAAGCATCACCAGCATCATCAGCATCATCAGAATGATCATCACCAACAACATCATCATCATCATCAACAACATCATCATCACCATCATCATCATCAACATCATCATCGTCATCATCATCAGCACCATCATCCGCTGCCTCCACCTCCTCCTCATCATCAGCAGCACAGTCATCATCATCAGCATCATCATCATCACCATCATCATCATCAACAGCATCAGTAACATCATCGTCAGCATCATCCTCACAATCGCCATCACTACCACCACCAACACCACTACCACACCCATCCAGATCCGCATCCCCATTCCCATGCTCATCATCATCCTCCTCTTCTTCCTCCTCCTCATAATCATTATAACCAGCAGCAGCAGGAGCAACATGATCATCATCAGCAGCATCATCATCATCAGCATCAGCATCATCAGCAGCAGCATCAGTAGCATCATCCTCATCATCACAATCGCCAACACCACCACCACCATCAGCACCACCACCACACCCATCCAGATCCGCATCCCCATCCTCATGATCATCATCCTCCTCTTCCTGCTCTTCCTCCCCATCAGCATCATAATCAGCAGCAGCAACAGCAACATGATCATCATCAGCATCAGCAGCATCATCAGCAGCATCAGCATCATCGTCATCCTCATCAGCAGCAACAACAGCAGCAGCAGCATGGTCACCACCACCACCGCCATTAACATCATCATCAGCAGCATCACCATGATCGTCATCAACAAATACAACAACAACAACAACAACAACAACAACAACAACCGCGTCCCGAGTCTGCTCCTCCTCATCCCCATCCTCACTCTCATCCTCATCGCCATCCAGTTAATGCCTCCTCCTCCTCCTCCTCCTCCTCAGCTTCCTGCTCCTCCTCATCAGCATCAGCATCAGCATCATAATCATCATCATCATCATCATCATCATCATCATCATCATCATCATCATCATCATCATCATCATCATCATCATCATCATCGTCCTCCTCCTCGTCATCTTCC